CATAATAGTATTATAGAAGAGCCTGAGTGTGATAATGACTAGGTACAATGTTCAAATATCAGTGATTCCATGCTGTTCACAATGTTCACAGCACTAGCCACAGCACCACAGCATTATTTCGTCCATCTACGAATCTTAAATCAACTTCTTAGGTTCCTTTTCAAAATAAACTTGTGGTCAATTATTCATTTACAGGAATTAGTGACCAGGGTTGTGGTTATAATTAGCATTGTGCGTAGTATTGTGGAAGGAGGAATTTTGGTGAGAGGGAGAGAATTGAGGTAGCCTCACTGTGTGGCAGCCACTCTTGCTTTGCTCACCATACTAGCTTCGTAGTTCGCTTTGGGCAACACACATGTACATGGGTATATACATTGTGTGTGTGTGTGTGTATATACAGTGTGTGTGTGTATATAGTATAATAACAGCAACAGGCATATGTCGAGTGGAGCTATTTTGGTGAGAGAGGTGACGTTGTAATCGTTGCGTCGTCTGCTGTGTGATTTCTCATGCAGTGTATGGTGGCCACTGTACTGTCTGGACACAATACTGGCTTACTTGCATAGTTCTGGTAAATAAAATATGTAGATAGGTATATATAATTTGTATAAATAGTGTAATAAAAACAATAACAGTATGGTGGGAGGAGCAATGTTGGCGAGTAAGATGTTGGAGTGAGGGAGGGCCTGTCTGGGTGTGGCTGCTCACACTTTCAATGTTCTGAATCTGTTGATGGTAAATGTGTATAGTGTGTGACAGTGTATAGTGTGTACATATGTTGTAAATGTACATAAATGAATATGAAACATTGGTGTGAATAACTGTATGATGGGAGGAGCAATGTTGGCGAGTACAATGTCAGAGGAGTGAGGGAGAGCTGGCTGGGTGTGGCAGCTCACACTCGCGGTGTTCTGAATGTGTTGATGGTGAATGTATATAGTGTGTGACAGTGTATAGTCTGTAAATAGATTGTATATATATATACATAAATTAGCATGATACATGGTAAATATGTGCAACATATGTGTACACAAGTGTCGTGCACGTAACACAGTGTCCTCGGACAGTACAGATGTTTTACTGCCATAATATAGTGTACATGTTCATTATACATAGGATTAGCACGTAAAAACAAATAAAATGTATTTGGAACTGTGCGCAAAAAATGAACAAAAATATATTCGCGGCAACTCGCGCGTTGCCCCGGGCGCCCTACTGGCTCAGGGAGCATACGTCACGGGCGAGCGGGGAATGATGACGTCGCGTGCCAACTTACGGACCCCATAGCAACCAAAGTAAGTACAATTTCAAAAAAATTTTTGACATACCCATACTGAGGGAAGGGTTTTTGACACTTTAAAAAAACAAAAGAATTTTTTCAAGAGAATTTATTTCCTGCGCACTGAGGGGGTCATATTTGGAGGCGGCGCAGTTAAAGGGTTAAATGCTTCACATGCACTGCCAAAGACACAACTTTCTTCTTTGTGTTGGGTTAGTACTAAGTTCACCTAGGGTTAACTCCACTCGAGTTGCTAATGAACTACTGTAGAGGTATTATGGTTCATTAGGTCATGGCAACACTTCATTGCTTTCATGTGATGTCTGACTTCATCATGGGTCATGCTTGTCAGTGTTGTGGATTTTTTTTTAATAGGTGCTTCATTTATATTCAGTTACTAACGAACCCTTGACTTTTTATGTTTGTAAGTTTGTAAGGTTTGAGTATGATTTGCAGAGAATATGAGTCTTGCGACAACATATTTCTTCAACCTTGTGTCTGAAGCAATGTTCCTGGGATAACTAGTCTGCTCTCCTGATTGTGGTAGACTGTTCTCCATTTAAGTTTGAGTGCATTTCTGCTGTTGTTGTTGTGTGGATTGCAATCAAATACATTTCCACTTACCAGGTGGAGTCCAAATCCCTTTCTCTGATTTGGTATGGATCAAATTTTTTCCTGGAATCCTAAAGAGTTTTTCAGTGTCCCAGGACTGATTTTGAATCTGTCACCGATTCAGATTCGGTCTGGAACTGTTTTTTTTTTTAGTTACAACAAACAACAAACATTAACCCTTCCACTGCTCTGGGGTCCTGAGGACATTTACACCCCTGTGCGCAAGAAAAAAATTCTAAATTTTTTTTTGTCTTTTACATGTTAATTTGTGTCCCCCGAGCACGGAAAAAATAATAAAAAAATTCTATTGTACATACCAATGACACAATTGAGCCGACAAGTTGGCCAATGACGTCACAGAGCGTGAACGCTCAAAGGTGCCGTGTCAGGCAGCTGTCACTCACGGCCGCTCAGGAGGCCCGAGTTGCAGCGAATTTATTTTCGCGGAATTATTTACAGTATTCTTGGGTCATTTTACACATTTTTTTTCACTAGTATTGTTCCAATTATTACCACTAGACGTTGTATTATAATAAAACTGTATAAACTCCCTAGGCGCTCACATATTAGTGTCACAAGTATGCCCAACAAAATGGCATAATTTACAGGAAATATTCAATGTATTTGGTTTTTTTCAATATAAACACTAAAATTAACTTGATATGTACATTTATTTACAAAAGAGTTACACATTTAGTAGTCCTGGAGACTGTGATACTGTACAAAACACTCGATATGGCACAGAGGGACTGCACACGCTTTGCACCATGTTAACACCAATTTACGTTTCTGTGGCCTAAATTTGGTGCTGGAACACACAACACACCGACGCTGGCCTGCTGCATGAGATCCAGTTATGGTAATTTCTTTATTTGGTGTACCAGAAAGGCCTCCCTGTAAGCGAGCCTGGATGCAGGAGCATGGTTCAATATTGGGTCTCGAATGGGTCATTGTACGCCAGGGGTGCCCTTGCCAAATTTACCTAGTAACTGTTTCACAACTTGAAAACTAAACGAACGGAAATATGGTTTTCTACTTGTTTTCACAAGATACATGTTGTAACTGTTCAGCATTGTTATGTCAATAAGGTGGAAAATCATTTTCTTTGTCCACTTCACTGTTTTCCGTACACACTCTACAGCACCCACCATCATGTCACATTTATCAGCTAAACGCATGTTGATGTTGTAGTCCATCACACAATCTGGCTTATATATTATTTGCTTTGTTGTTCTGTTCACCTTGCCACTGTCCACCATTGTACCAGGGTGAATGGTGGTCAACATGTTCACTTCACATCTGTCTTTCCACCACACTGAAAGCATTGCACCACTTTTTCTTACCTCGCAATCACCTACTTGCATAGCAGTGTCAAATACAGGCATTTCCTTTCGTTTTGGCTTTACTGTGCCACACACTCCAGTCTTATTATCAAGCAAGAATTTCATTAGCAAGGGACTGGTATAATAGTTATCTGTGTATAATATGTGGCCCCTGTTCAGATATGGTGCAAGCAGTGCCTTCACCACACTACCTGAGAAGCCATGTTCGTCATTAGCAGGAATATCTACATTTGTGGCGGAATACAGTATCATGTGTAACACCATTCCTGATTCACAGTCACAGAGCACAAAGAATTTCAGTCCAAATCGGTGACGTTTTGAGGGAATATACTGCTTGAAGGCAGCACGTCCATTGAAAAGCACAAGGAATTCATCAATAACCAGCTTCTGAGCTAGTACGTAGTAATCTTGGAACTTTCCAATCAGGTCATTTAGCATGTGCCTCACCCTCCAAGGCCCATCATCCTGTCTCTCGTCTGCATCAACAGAAATCTGTCTCAGGACATATATTTCCCGAACAAAGGTGTTGGAACAGCGTTGTCTTTGCTCCAATAATCTGATATTACGTGTTTCACACAATGTTTCATCAACATGCAAATTGCGAAAAACACATACAGTTCACCAGCAGTTGTCTCTTTCCAACGCTGTAGTCGTGAAAATTCTGATACTTCCTCACCTTCAATGAGATCGGCCACAAGCCTGTTCATTTCGTGAACAATGTGTTCCATGAGCGGCTCATCGAAATATGCAGTAAAAAAGTCCAATTCACTCATTTCGTCACCAGTATCAAGGAAAAGATCTGTAATTCCCACATCTCTGCTGTCAAAGTCGGGAATTTGTGGAACAAAATCTTCCCCATCACTCCACACAAACAAACCTGCTGCCTTCCGAGAGCCATTAGCTGCACCACAGCGAAGAATCCGGGGACCAGGAGCTGAAGCAGGCATTGCAACAGTAGGGGCAGGAAGGGTAGATGAGGAAAAAGATTTGGAACATGAGGGAATTTGTTCCTCATTGTCGCCATATTGTTCCATGCAGCGGCACTTGGCTGGTTGGGCAGCTGATGCGGCGAAACTTGTACTGGCACTAGCAGCCGGGGTAAAACTATTCTCCGATTCTTCTCCGATTCTTCATCACTAAAACCTGAGAAAGATTCACTTGTTTCAGACTCGTCGATCATATCATAAACATGCAATGGAACAGATGAACGGCGTGCTTGGACGCGAGGTGGTGTTGAGTGGTGTTGAGTAGTAGCGGGTAACTCTTGTGGCATCCTCACCCTCGTGGCACCAATATGTTCACCCTCACTATCCGTTGTTTCTATTTCTTCAGGCTGTGTATAGTCCTCATCTATATCCGAGTCGTCAATATCAGATTCGTCAACATCCTTGAACAATTCATTAGCAATTTCGTCTTCGGTCAAAGACTGCGCGGCGCAGTGCGCTGAGCAAGGTCGCACGCTGGGTCGTGATGCGCTCGCCATGGTGTCTGGCCACTAAGGCCTGGGAAACAAAGGAGGCCTGCTCTAGATTTTTTTTCAAGATGGCGTCTGTTTACAATCGCCCCTGGCTACTGTATGGGTGACCCCTTTACAATGCGGGACATTTGAATTGTGCCTGGCACCCTTTGGCGTATATATACGCCATGCGCACGGTGGGACATGTTACTCATGGCGTATATATACGCCATGCACAGTTTAAGGGTTAAACAACACATAACAACAAATAGTACTAGTTATTATGAATGCAAGATAAAAAATAACATACCCAGGAGTTGCTCCATATTGTAGACAGTCAGTCATTAGTTTTGGGTGAATTGAGAGGGTTCGGCCATCGGTCAGAGTAACAGATGCAGCTTGGAATGGAAACATCTGAGGATTTGGTAACCCACCAGCCATGAATACTAATTCTGGTGAGGCAGTTGACAGCAAGTTTGCTGAAATAACAATTACAGAATATTAAACATTCCGCATCAATAATGTGAATTTTTAACTAAAAAACCAGTGTTGAATGTAATGAAACGCTATTTTCTGGGTGAGACCCGGAGGCTCCCCAGAGCTTATCCAGGCTGATATGCTAATGTCAGACTTTGACATCAGTCATGTGTATGGAGTTCTATGGACCTACCGGGGACCACGAGCCAGAACCTGGCACCCTCAGAGAGGCAAAGGGAGCAATGGCCTATAGCAACCCACGTGTGGTTGGATGCATTCTATGTCTGCCATTGACTGGGTCAGGCACCCAGAAAAGTAAGCGTCCCAAAACAAACCCCTGTTCTGGTGAAAATTGCTACCACAAGCCAAACAGGTGGATAGAACTACCCTAAAAGAAATGAGCAAACGATCATGACGTCACACGTCGCCGTGCCGCTGTCTGCGCAGCTCCCCCCTCCCAGGAGGGGGAAGGGGAAGCCCCAGACCTACTGTGCTGGCTATCCACCATCAGTTCTTCAACTAGATGTAAAAAAAAACACGAAAAACCGCCGACTGGAGGGAGGGATGCCGGGGGACCTTGGAGTCTCACCCAGAAAATGGTGTTTCATTACATTCAACGCTGGTTTTATGGGGGGAGCCCCTTCGGCTCCCCGGAGTTAACTACCCACAGAGGAAAACAGAGGGACGTACCCGGGAGGTGCTCGCCGCACACTCCCCAACTCAAAGTCAAAACAACTGGCTGCAGCCACCAACCCAAGGCGATACAGGCCCGAATGGGCCCGGAAACGACACTAGACACCGAGTAGCCAGGCTCCTGTACGACCGCCAAAAGCCCAGTGCTCGAATGTCAGCTAGGACATGCCGACATGGTAGCAAGAGCAGCGAATCCACGAATGCCACAGGCATGGGGAAAGAACACAGGCTAGCTAGCCTCAATAACACGGCGGACGACCCGGGAGACCCTCACCCGCGAACAGGGAAGAATGGAACCCGATCAACCCAAAGCGCATCCCGGACACAGAAGCTGTGGCACGCAAATAACAACGGAGGACTGCAACCGAATACAAAATACGATGCACTCCCGGCCCGACCAACCAAGCACCAACAAATCAAGGACCCCTCCGGAAAGCAGCAGCCTCATCCCGTGCCAGAAAAGAGGGAGATGGTTGCAACCGAACAAACCAATCACCACGACTGAAGGAGCAGAAACCCCTACACCCTAGGAGAGCAAGAAGCTCAGTGATCCAACCCCAAGAGGTAAATGCCAACAGGAAAGAGCCTTCAAGAAACAAACCCGAACCGAAGGGGTCACAACCAACCGAGGAGAAGAAAGAGCATGCTGTCCAGAGACCAGGATGACTCAAGCGGTGCATGAGTAGGCCGGAGGTGAAACAACGCACGAGACAGCTTACAAACAGCGCAGATGTAACACCAAGACCAAAAACAAGTCGAAGCTGCCCCGCCAGCACCGCACGAAACGAGTTGACAGTATACAGCAAGATGATGTCCCCGAACCCCCACCAGAATAGCCAAGCCGATGCCAATAATGCAGCTACCTAAGAAGGGACAGAAGGAAAAGGAAGGACCGCAAAAATACCCCATACTGCCGCCAAGAAGAAGCACGCAGGTGGGACATCAACAACGAAGCCACCTGACCACCAACTGAAGGTGAGAGACTCGAGGCAGAACCCAACCAGCCCCGTCAAGGTTCATCCGAGCCTAGGAAGAGGCGGAGCTGCGGGAAGGTCTCGGGCGCGACCACCGAGGAAGCAGAGCCGGAAACCCAAGCCAGCAAAGGAGGAGATGGAAGGGAGCCCACTAGCAGACTCTTACAATACAGCTGGAGGAACAGGCTCGACTGCCCCTGTCGCTACCCCGGATGGGGAATTCCCCAAGATCGCCCGAGTCTCAAAACCAAAGATTAGATTAGATCACATCAGGGAAACGACAAGGGGACGTGGAAGAAACCAAAGCAACCAACACCCCCAATCCCCAACACCAACCAAAACGGAGCAGCCTCGGGACTTCCGGGGAGCAAACAAACAAGAGTGTTGTCACCACCGAAACGCAACGTGCAACGCCTGTACCCGCATAGTCAGCAGAAGACTGGGTAACCGACTCACAACAAGCAACAAAACTCGCAGGACTCCGGGCTGAAGGTGTCACCGACCCCACAGGCAGCAGACAGAGGCAAAGAGAGAGAGTCACCCCTGAGACAAGGGGTGAGAGCAACCCTCAAACATGCTGGAAGCGAGGGGGGGACGCCGGAGTCACATCCATCGGACCTGCACGCCCCCAGGGGGTTTCCCAGGGTCCTGAGCATTTACTATAATAGGACTCGCGCTCAGGTAATCCCAGGCAGGGTACTGCTAACCGGAGCCCAAATCTACCAAACACCCTTCTAAGAACTGAATCCGCTGGATGTGTACACTCACGGGGACCTAGCAGGGGAAACCACCGGAAGAAGGAAGAAGACACAGAACACAGGGAATACAAGGGGCAAGAACGAAGGCAGATCCCCCCACCAGGCAGATAAACAAAAAGAAAAAGAAAAACCCCGCAAGAGGACAGCTTACCCAGGTAGAACAGAGCCGGCCGCCATGATTGGTGAAAACAAGCCCTGCGCCCCGATAGTTTCAGAGGTTTCCTGGAGCTATAGGACTTATATTAGTTATATTTGTCTGGGGCTTCAGTTATATGGAGTTGTCATGCCTATTGGAAACCACGAGCCAGAACCTAGTTCCCTCAGAGGCACAGGGAGCAATGGCCTATGAAAACTCCACTCTTTGAGAGTATATTCATGTATGCCATCGACCCGGGTTAGGCACTGTTATGATCCCAGATAGCTGAGAAACGAGTCTACCTTGAGAGTTATTCTATCAGGCCTGACCTAACTAAGAGGTCAAAGAAATATAGACATGAAGATACATACATAAAACAATTGGTTAAATTTGACAGACAGTTTAAGAATATGGGTAGTGAATCAGGATATAGATAAATGACTGGCCATGAGATGTGGAAAGTTTGCTGGGAGTGTGAGGCTCACTTCTGGAGGGCTTTGACCCCACTTGAGCACCAGACATCGTGAGGGGAAGCCACGCTCCATGTGAGCTCCTGTTAGAGAGGAACCCCTAGTTGATATACCTTCAGGAGGAAGGAAGTGTGCAGACGTTTCAGCTGTGGAATCAAGCTAGGAACGCGTGGTCTCAAGTCCTGGACGGCCAGAAGAGTTGTGAAGCCGTACTGAAATGTTTTCGTTGGGCAACTTGTGAGCGCCCTGTCGAGCATCGGCCACAAAGCACCCTCAACTAGACAATTTTGTGGTAAGCACAAATTTTAACCAGCTAACAGTGATTACCTATAGTTGCTCGTGTGCCCAGCGACAGTAGCGAATGTTTAGTGATATATATTAGGCATGTTTTGATAAGGCAGAAGACCAAAATAAGAGAGTAAAGATGGAGGAATGTCCTGGAGGGCGGAGCGATATCCATCCCCTCCAACCGCTTGTGGGTGACTGAGGGAGCCTGACTCCTGGTGGAGGACTGCAGCGGTAGGCGGAGGAATCGCTCAGCAAGAGGCGGAGGAATCGCTCAGCAAGAGGCGGAGGATGGACCAGCCCAAACGTGGGGGGAGTCAACACCCACGACGTTCGGGAGACAGAGAGATGTTGGGTGGAAACATTAATTGTGTGGTTTATTTTTTGTGTGTGTTTATAGAGGAACATTTTTTATTGGCATGTAAATGGGTTGCAGGTTTGTTCTGAGGAAGGAGTTGATGGGAGTACTCTGAGGCCAGAGAAGAAGTTGATGAATGGAACTTCAAGCCTGTAGGAGTAGATGTTGTACTCTGTGGAAGAGCAAGCCCCATAGTGAGGAATTGGACCTCATACTGTGAGAAGAGGAACAGTGAAGTCTCACATGTTTCTGTGGAAACAGTAGTGGAGTACCACTGGGGTCCAAGGAGAACTTTATGGTGCAGCAGCCTGGAAGAACTACAGATGATCCTGGTAGATAAACCTGGAAGAACCTGATGATGTCAGGGTAGTGAATTTACAAATGTGGGAAGGAAGTTCTTATTGACTACTTGTAGGAAGTTGGTAGTGCTTGATTGTCTAGCGTGCACATCTAGTTGTGCAATAATTGGCTGTCAACAGCCAATTATTGCACAACTATATTCTACCCACCTCAAGACTCCGCTCCAATATAGAAGCATCAAGAAATATGGACCAATAGGCTTTCTACAAACACTTCTATTCAATATCCATTGTTTCGTGTTCTGTCTTGTGTTGATGAAATTAATACCCTATTAATACTCTTGTTCTGTCTTGTGTTGATGAAATTAATACCCTATTAATACTCTTGTTCTGTCTTGTGTTAATGCCACATCACCCCTTCCACCTCACTCAAATGTAGATATAAAAACGGAGATACGAAAGTTCTATTCAGTTGTGTATTTGTGAACTAAAGTCTTTGAAAATGTAATAAGTTTTACGAAACGCGCCCGTGTCGCATCAGACTAGAAATAAAAATGAATTTTGGAGAATTGATTTTTGATTTACCTCCAACAGTGAAGCGTAATGTACGAAAGATTGAGAAAATTCGTGTTAGAATTATTAATCTTACTTTTTCGGTCATATTTAACAATATATGTCTACAGGAAAGACTGCTACCAAAATAAATAAATAAATAAATAAATTATATATATATATATATATATATATATATATATATATATATATATATATATATATATATATATAATATATATATATATATATATATATATTAGTATATTTTGGTAGCAGTCTTTCCTGTAGACATATATTATTAAATATGACCGAAAAAGTAAGATTAATAATTCTAACACGAATTTTCTCAATCTTTCGTACATTACGCTTCACTGTTGGAGGTAAATCAAAAATCAATTCTCCAAAATTCATTTTTATTTCTAGTCTGACGCGACACGGGCGCATTTCGTAAAACTTATTACATTTTCAAAGACT